TATAATATAATAAATCATTATAAAAAATTATAATATAATAATAAAAAAAATGATCCAGTAAATGGGAATTCTGGGGGCGCTGCCTGATCCGTACCAGAGTCAATAGAGTACCAAGTTCACACATCACTGAGCTCGGTCGCAGAATCGTCGCTGTCATCACTTTCAGTGTCTGATTTCCCCACGAATCGTTATCGCTCAATTCTGCAAGTGTTTCTAATTCACTATCGCTGTTTTCTACCTGGTCTAAAACCGCTTTTGACCTAAAGGGACGCTTTTTGGATGCCATGGACGTTCTCAAGTTTCTAGGCAGAAAGAACAGTAAAAGTGCAGGCAGGGCACTGGACAAAGCTCTAGGGACAAAATTGAAGTGAAATGGTTTGATACAGAAATGTAAACATAGCAGATTACATTGTATTGTGTGTATTCTGTGTATATTGCATGTTTTCACTTTTGAATTTCCCTCTGGCTCCGCCCCCCGCTGTGACACCGAAAACAAAACTAAAAGTCGGATGCCAGCATCGGCCGGACGCACACAGCAGAGGACACCGTGGGCTCGTAGGGACAAGGTAAGTGACACTTTTGTGTAATCCCGAGTGTGGCTCGGGGTTACCGCTACTGGTACTGAAAATTAACCCTGAGCCACACTCGGGAATACCGCCAGGGAGGTTAAATAAAAGATAGTATTTTTTTATTCGATTAATATTATTATCAATTGATATTATGAAAATTAGGGATCCACCGATATTTTGGCCACTGAAACATATCGGCCGAAAATGGCACTTTTGACAAAATACCGAAAGTGCCATCTTCCGGCCGAAATTGCAGTGCATGCCTGGTTTCCCTCCTCCCCACTCAGCGCTGCTCTGTGTCCCCTCTGACACACTGCAGCGGCCGGGGGGGGGGGAGGACAGAAACTGTCACAGGAGGCCGTGTGGTGAGGAGGAGGAGAGCGATGTGAGTGACCGGCGTCTCTCCTCCCGCACCAATCAGCCTCCTGTAACAGATTAAGAGAGCGGTGTGGGGGCGAAGGCAGCTGTCAGTGCTGTCAAAGGAGGCTGAGCTCTCCTCCCGCACCGCCCCACTCAGCCTCCTGTGACAGATCAGGAGAGCGGCGGTGTGTGGGCTGAGACAGCTGTCACAGGAGGCCAGGTCAGTGGTGCGGGGGAGGAGTCAGATGTCAGAGGAGATCGAGCTCTCCTTCCCGCACTGCTCGCTGTCACACTTCCCTGTGTGAGGATCCGGCGCCGGGTTTTACCTCCTGTCTGAGCTGCTGGGCTTCCTGCCAATCCACTCTGAACCTCTCCATTAAAAGTCCAGCTCACTTGTTCCGTGCCGTTCGAGCAACGTGTCTTTTCACCCAGTCCGACTTCCTGTTTATTTCTTGCCTCTGTAATCCCTGCGGTTGCCCACCACCTACCTTGTCTCCTGTGAGTCTAGATTCCCTCTTCCTCACAGCGAGATCCTGTACGTCCTGCATTGGATTGATCATCAGCTTCTTCAAGTGAGTCCTTGCACCTGCGCCTAC